AACAACACCCCAAAACTTTTGTTTCAGAAACATCAGCACATGGTGTTTCTGAAACAAAAAGGTGCTCCTTTGGGAACCTGGCACCTGTTGAGTGAAATTGAGATAATTTTGTTAGTTTCACCACTGCCTACCACACACTAGCAGCAGAAAAACTGGCAAGAATCCTATCAATTTCATTCAGTAGCTTCCAGGGTCTGAGCTCCAGGACAGCAGGGTTGGGGAGCTCAGGGCTTCCGGATTCCAGGGCCAGCTGGCTCTCCACCCTGCAAAACTTTCACAGCAGGTGGCTTAACAGTTTGTGGGACATGGGGAACCTGGCCACAGGCAGTCTGAATGGCAGGGCTGCTTAGGAGCTGTGGACAGCTTTCAGGCTCCCAGCTTCACAGCTGGAAGCCCCAAGAACCCTCAGGGACTCTTGGTTCCATAGCAGGGAGCCTAGAAGCTATGAGAGCCCCCTGCCTATGGTTCATCAAATGTCTGTCAAACCTAATATGTTTCCGCAAAACATTTTGGATTCGACAAATTGGCATTTTCCAAGAAAACTCTGTTTTATCAGAAAATTCCCAACCCTTCCTAGTTAGGACTAATTAGTCTAAAAGCAAATAGTTCCATAAGACCCATGTATGTTGTCAGCAGTTAGACAAATAATTGCCTTAGATGAGTAGTAACTTAAACTTTCTTTTATTGAAATAGAAAAATGCAAGTCAGTGTGTATATTTCATATGATTTCCCTACTTGTAAACAGTAGTTTAAATCTTCATTCAGTTGGAATTTTGCATCAGAGTATGAAGGGGGATGTGAAAGACATATAAAGAGATGAACTTTTATGTGAGAAAAGTTTGTTTGATTTATAAAGTGGCATTTTTGACTGGGAAATTATGTTCATTGATTAATAGTTGCAGTTGAAATAAATGCACCAGTTCTTAGGTTTCATTACAAGTAGTAATATTGGGTTGTTTTATATTTAGTTAATAGTCTATATAATTTGTGGTGAAAATGTAAAGCTTTTTAAAAGTGAGTTTAGATTATAATTGTCTCTTCTTTCTTTTTTTTTTTAAGTATAGCCTAGTTTACCCTGATTTTTTTTTTTTTTTTTTTTTTTTTATAATATCACTGTATGGAGAACATAATTTGTTGTCATTCAAGATAGTTTTTCCATTTTATTTTAAAACTTTGTTTTTATGGTTGTCAAAGTCCTATAAAAAACTGTACATCACCATTCCTGCCAAAACTGACTTAAAATGAAAACTGTTTTCATTTTAAAGGTCACAGCTTTCATTTTGGCTACAGCTAATAAACATCAACTGGATTTATTACATGAATCTGAAAAACACATGTTTCCCGAAATTCTTATTTGGACCTAGTTTCAATGATAACTTTGGTTTTGTTGTCTTTTGTTTAAAGTCTTATTAGGTGTTTGGCTAAATAAAACAGTGCATACTAACATATCAGCCGTGTATGAATGTTATCCTAATGTACATGCAAACAAAACAGAGTCACTATGAAAGTTTAGACAGCTAAGCACACCCACTCTAAGCTCTAAGTCCCTCAGCCATCACCTCTCTTGGGTAGAGATCCACATCTCCCTCTCAAATGAGGTATTTTCCCAGGCTGCACAGTTCACTGCCTACACAGTATTACTCCCAGCAAGCCAGACTTCCTAAACAGGCCAGCCTCTGCACTTTGTGCTCTCTCTCTCTCTCTCTCTCTCTCGGCTTTAAACAACATAATTGCCCTGTTATGAGTTACAACACAGCTCTTTCTAAGCAAGCACTGTTATCCTGAAGATGAAAGCATTACAGAGAAAACATCAAAACCAATAAAAGAACCTACACACTAATCAGCTTACTAGAAAAACAACGAGGAGTCTGGTGGCACCTTAAAGGCTAACAGATTTATTTGGGCATAAGCTTTTGTGGGTAAAAAACCCACTTCTTCACTTTTTTTACCCACAAAATCTTATGCCCAAATAAATCTATTAGTCTTTAAGGTGCCACCAGACTCCTCGTTGTTTTTGTGGATACAAACAAACACGGCTACCCCTCTGAAGCTTACTAGAGATCACCTGCTTCCCCCCGAATTCAGCAAGGACTCTGGTAGGAGTCAGTCCTTCAAACCCTATGTGACAGATATGACAATATTCTGCAATATCGTAGGCAAACATTATGGAATTAAGTTAAACCTTATTGAATTATGTTTAATACGTTTGGGGTCCATTGTATTGAAAATGCACATGTTTGTGTACTATTGTGGGATAAGGATTAATGCGATCTCTGCGAGATAATGTGAACTTCAAAAGACAATGCTGAATAGTGTACCAGACATGATTGATCTTTTGGAACAACATGTATGAAGTTCCTAGGAATTCCTAGGAACTACTGGAGAGTAGGGGATTGCAACCCCTCACCTACAGAGTCAGCCTTTGAAGCGTTGCCCTGAGATGGGGGATTCTTTGTCTGCTGTTACAGGAGAAAGTTCAGAGACCCAGTCTGGATTGTCCAGTGACCAACAGACAAAGAAAGGACTTTTGAATAAATATCCTGAGTTTAAGATGACTCAGTGGCTTTGTTCTGATGCAGCAAATAGACAGCATCTCTGGTCCAGAGAGGGCCCCAGTCCATGAGGCAGAGTTGGAAGGACTGACATTGACTAAGAACCCTTGTGGATATGGTGGGAAAGAAGTGTGATGTCTGTTAACCTTATTAGCATGCGTGTAGGTTTTATTTGATTTTTAAAAATGTTTTCTCTCTAGTGCTTTTACCTTAAGAATAAAATATACTTGCTTAGAAAGAACAGTGTGGTAGCTTGTAACTGTTGGCTATTACTGTGATTATTCTCTGAAGACAGAAAGCAAGAAGGCCTATTTAGGCAGATGTCTTTTTCTGGGAATAACACAGTGAAGGTAGGGAAATGTTCAGCCTGGAAATACCCTGGTCAGGAGGGAGACAGATGCTGGTCTTCACTGAAGAAAGTCAACACCTAGGGAGCAAAAAACCTGAGAGTGAGTTCCCTTGCTGAATCACTAAGGGGAAAATAAAGATACTTAAATTGTATTCAATAAGATTTTCCAAGGATATTGCAGGAGATTGCCATATCAGTCACAAGATATATATAGTGCATTTGATGATACTTTGTATGAAACACTGTAGAAGCCAGATTTATTTTCATAGATTCTGAGACTAGAAGGTACCATTGTGATCATCTAGTCTGTCCTCCTGCATAACACATGCCATAGAACTTCCCCCAAATTAATTTATTTGAACTAGAACCCTATCTTTTAGAAAAACAGCCAGTCTTGGTTTCAAAATGTCCAATGTTGGAGAATCTACCACAACCCTTAATAAATTGTTCTTTTTCGAGTGCTTGCTCATGTCGATTCCAGGTAGGTGTGTGCATGTCGCTTGCACAGTCGCTGGAAGGTTTTTTCCCTAGTGGGTACCCGTCGGGTCAGCTGTAGAGCCCCCTGGAGTCGCACCTTCATGGCGGTGTATATAGGTCCCTGCCGATCTGCCACCTCTTCAGTTCCTTCTTACCACCAGTGACGGTCGTTGGAGCAGCTTCTCTTGCGAACAGCAAGCAATCCCCTAGTGGACTTTTGTTCAATGTTACCTGTAAATAGTTAAAAACTTATAATTACTGTAGTGTAAATAGTATAGTTAGTTTAGATAAGTTTCAGTTGGAGGCCTCCTCCCCCACCCCCACCCCCACCCCCCCGGAATCCGGAGCATGTCTCAGGGCTGGTCTACACTGCCGCGCTAGTTCGGCGGCTGGGGATCGAAGTTCCGAGTTCAATTTATCGTGTCTGGTCTGGACGCGATAAATCGAACCAGGAAGTGATCCCCGTTGACTGCGGTACTCCAGCTCAACGAGAGGAGTACCGCGGAGTCGACGGGGAGCCTGCCTGCCGCGTGTGGACCGCGTCTGAACCGCGGTAAGTTCGAAGTAAGGTATGTCGAATTCAGCTACGTTATTCACGTAGCTGAATTTGCGTACCTTACTTCGACTTGGGGGGTAAGTGTAGACCAAGCCTCAGTCTCAGAGTTTCAAGCCATGCAGGTCCTGTCTGAAGCCTATGCCAAAGGGATACTCACATGACTCCTGTCTGAAATGTCTGGGAGAGGCACACCAAACAGATAAGTGCAAGATCTGCAGAGGCTTGAGACAAAGGACCAAAAAAGAAAGGGACTTTAGGCTGAAACTGCTCCTTATGGAATCAGCCCTTCATCCCAAGGCGGTGTCCGACCCCAAGCCCAGCACTTTGGTGCGGAGCGCGCCAGCCTCAGTAAGGGAGGCCACGGCATCAAGAAAGGAGTCTGGCTTCAGGGACCCTCGGCACCGCCATTCCCCGATGCCGAAGACCTCTTCCACTGCGAGTGCCCAGCACTGTTCCCATTCGCCAGTGCTCCACAAGAAGACGACGGATAGAGGGAGCTCTTCTACTAAAGTAGTGGGGCGAGCAGGCACCAGCGGGGTGTGTCCCATGTCGGGACACCCTGTTCTGGCTACGACTCTGCTGGCACCATTGACTCCGGCCTCACGGGGAGGTACGTCAAGTCAGGTTCTTGTGGTCTCCCCGGTGTGGGAGTGTCAGGAGGAGGACATAGACCTCCCTTCCACACTGGACACCTAGGAGGTCCAGATCCCTTTTGGAGGCGCAAGTCCCTCCATCAGTGACTTTGGTGGCCCAGGAAACCTCTGCGAGGGCAGGAGATGGGCACGCAGGTTGGCACCGAGACCAATGCAGGTCCCTGCACCAGGACTGGTACTGAGGTGGGCACCGGCCTGGGAACCAACACCACCCCCGGCACCGCACAAGGTGTCTTGACACAGGGGGATCCCTGCGAACCAGAGGGGCAGGAAGACCTGTTGCCCTCGCGGACATCATCCTCATCCTCCCCAGTTGAAGCGGTGGAGGGCACTTCCACCACACTGCCTGCCATGCTGCCATGGACACCAGGGCACACCAGGAGCTGCTCAGAAGGGTGGCTCAAAACCCCAACATGCAGGCGGAGGAGGTCTCAGAGGAGACGGACCCTATGGTGGACATTCTGGTCCCTGAAGGCCCTTCGAGTGTGGCTTTGCCCCTCATTAAAACTATCCAGAACACCACTAAAGTGCTATGGCAAACACTCACCTCTCTTCCCCCTCTCCCCCCCGTGAAAGGGGTAGAGCAGAAATATTTTGTGCCATCCAGGGGGTATGAGAACCTGTTTACCCATCCTCAACTGGGTGTTCTGGTGGTGGAGGCGGCCAACCAGAAAGAGAGACAGGAACAGTCGGGACCGATTCCTAAGTCTAAAGAGGTGAAGAAGCTGGATCTCTTCGGTAGAAAGGTGTATTCTACCGGGGGCTCCAGCTTTGCTTAGCCAACCAGCAGGTGGTCCTGAGCTGCTATTGCTACAATTCCTGGAACACATTGTCCAAGTTCCAGGAACTGCTACTGGCAGACTCCCACTCCGAATTTGCGGCTGATCTGGAGGAGGGCAAGGTAGTCTCGAAGGCCTCCTTACAAGCCTCCCTGGACTCGGCGGACTCAGCTACTCAGACTATGGCAACCGCGATAGCCATGAGACGCAGCTCATGGCTTCAAGTCTTGGTACTCCCACATGAAGTCCAAAACACCATCCAGGACTTGCCTTTTGACTGTTCAGGACTCTTTTCAGCGCAAACAGACAGTAGGCTCCACAGCCTGAAGGACTCGTGGGCAACCCTTAAGTCCCTGCGGCTGCATATGCCACCCTCACCCTACCCCAGGGGAAGTGGTGCAGGAGTAAGAGAAGGAGACCCTCTCAGTCCTCCTCTGGTCAGGACCAGGGTGCAGCAAAGCAGTCCTCAGCCTCTAAGCCAAACTTTTGAAGGTGCGCCCAGGGGCGACGCACCAGATCAAATCCTGGATCCTTTTCCTCCCTTTGTGAATCATCTATTCCATTTCTACCATGCCAGGGCTCAAATAACCTCAGATCGATGGGTCTTGAGCATGGTAGAATTGGGATATTCTCTCCAATTCTGGTTCCTTCCGCCTTCTCACCCACCCTCCCCATCCCTCTCACAAGCAACTTCTAGTTCCTACAACTTGGGGTGGTAGAGGAGGTGCCTCTGGAGTTCAGGGGCAGGGGTTCTACTCCCATTATTTCCTAATCACCAAGGCCAAGGATGGGCTCAGGCCTATTTTAGACTTACGAAACCTAAACAGATTGATGAAGAAGTTAAAGTTTTGCATGGTCTCCCTGGCTTCCATCATTCTCTCCCCGGATCTGGGGGAGTGGTACGCTGCCCTCGACTTGAAGAACGTGTACTTTCACGTGTCCATAATGCTGTTCCACAGATGGTTCTTCGATTCTTGGTCAGCAACACCCACTGTCAGTTCATGGTCCTCCCCTTCGGCCTCTCAGCAGCCCCTCAGGTGTTCACCAAGTGCATGGCGGACATGGCAGCCTTCCTACGGAAGCAGCAAGTGCAAATATTTCTGAACCTAGATGACTGGCTAATCAAGGGCTGCTCCTGGGCCAAGTGGAGGACCACGTGAGCCTGAAACGGTCTACGTTCCACAGGCTCAGGCTCATTCTGAACATGGCAAATTCAACCATAACCCCCACGCAAAGGATAGAATTCATCGGAGCCCTCCTGGACTCCAGTCAGGCCAGAGCATTCCTCCTGGAATCTTGCTTCCTCGCCATGAAGTGCCATCAGAGAGGATCTCAGAAGATTTCCCACCACTACGGCGAGGAATTGTCTGAGACTACTCAGGCATATGACTGTTTGCACGTATGTGGTACAGCATGCCAGATCTGCGGTTCTGTCCCCTTTAGGTTTGGCTAGCCTGGGTATACAGGCCAAACTGAGACCACCTAGACAGACTGGTCACACTCACTCCTCAGGTCCTCGAGTCCCTCCAGTGGTGGCTCAACCCGTAAGCGTGGTGCTCAACCTGGGGCTCTCGAGGCTGATGGGCCCTCCATTCGAGCCTCTAGCAACATGCTCTCTCCTTTACTTTTCTTGGAAGATGGCATTCCTAGTGGCTATAACGTCAGCCAGGAGGGTGTCTGAGCTCAAGGCCCTGACGTCCAAGCCACCTTACACTGTGTTTTATAAAGACAAGGTGCAGTTGTGGCCGCACCCAGCTTTCCTCCCAAAGGTGGTCTTGCAATTTAACGCGAATCAGGACATTTTTCTTCCAGCATTCTTCCCTAAGCCACATGCTAATAACCGGGAATGGATGCTCCATTCCCTGGATGTCAGATGAGAGTTAGCTTTTTATATCAAGCGGACAAAGCCATCTTAGAAATCAACACAGCTCTTTATTGCAACGACTGAGCAGATGAAGGGGCTCCCGGTGTCGTCCCAAAGAATCTCTTCATGGATAACGGCCTGTATCAGGGAATGCTACTACTTAGCAAAGATACCAGCCCCAGCATTAATGGTGCACTCCATAAGAGTGCAAGCTTCGTCTGCAGCGTTCCTGGCCCAGGTTCCTATTCAAGATATCTGCAGGGTGGTGACGTGGTCATCTATTTGCACCTTTACATCTCACTACACCATCACACAGCAGGCTAGAGACGATGCTGCATTTGGCAGAGCAGTGCTTCAGTCTACGACTCGGTGAACTCTGACCCTTCCTCCTAGGGACTACTTTGTAGTCATTTACTTGGAATTGACATGAGCAATCACTCGAAGAAAAAAACGTTACCTACCTTTTGTAACTGTTGTTTTTCGAGATGTGTTGCTCATGTCCATTCCAAGAGCCACCTGCCTCCCCTCTCTGAGTATCCAGCAAGAAGGAACTGAAGAGGCGGCGGGTTGGCAGGGACCTATATACACTGCCATGAAGGTGCGATTCCAGGGAGCTCCAGAGCCAACCTGACAGATACCGCTAGGAGAAAAACCTTCTGGCGACTATGCAAGTTGTGCGCGCACATGTACTTGGAATGGACATGAGCAACACATCTCGAAGAACAACGGTTACGAAAGGTAGGTAACCGTTTTCCAATGGTTAATTACCTTCACTGTTTTAAAACTGATGCCATATTTCTAGTCTAAATTGAATATCTTCAACTTCCAGCCATTGGTTCTTGTTATACCTTTATCTCCTAGATCAGGGGTCGGCAACCTTTCAGAAGTGGTGTGCCAAGTCTTCATTTATTCACTCTAATTTAAGGTTTCCCGTGCCAGTAATACATTTTAACGTTTTTTAGAAGGTCTCTCTGTCTATATTAAATGGGGGGAGGGATAGCTCAGTGGTTTGAGCATTGGTCTGCTAAACCCAGGGTTTTGAGTTCAAGCCTTGAGGGGGCCACTTAGGAATCTAGGGCAAAATCAGTACTTGGTCCTGCTAGTGAAGGCAGGGGGCTGGACTTGATGACCTTTCAGGGTCCCTTCCAGTTCTATGAGATAGTTTAGTTATATGGAAATATACCTATTGTCGTATGTAAAGTGAACAAGGTTTTCAAAATGTTTAAGAAGCTTCATTTAAAATTAAATTAAAATGCTGATCTTACGCCGCCGGCCCGCTCAGTCCGCTGCAGGCCTGGGGTTCCGTTCACCTAGGCCGGCAGCAGGCTGAGTGGGACCGATGGCCGGGACCCCGACTGGCAAGGGGCCGGCAGCCAGAACCGGGGGCCGGCAGCGGGCTGAGCGGGGCCGGAGGCCGGGACCCCAGACCGGCAGTGGGCTGAGTGGCTCAGCCCGCTGCCGCTCAACCCGCTGCCAGTCTGGGGTCCCGGCCCTGCCCACATAGAGTGGGTACCTACCTTCTCACTGGTTCGAGCCCATTCTCTTCCTCTCTCTTTGCACTGAGCTGAGGGTGAGAGTGCACTGAACACAGAGCTGGGGGTGAAGGAGCAGGCTGGGGGTTGGGGTGTAGGGTCTGGCCAGGAGCTAGAATGAGGGAGGGGGCTCAGGGTTGGGGCAGAAGGTTTGGGTGTGGAGAGCTTACCAGGGCAGCTCCCATTTGGTGCGAGGTGGGAATGTGGGGGGGGGGCGGTGCAGGAGCTCCCATTTGGTGCTCAGGGTGGGGATGTGGGGGGTGCAAGAGTCAGGGCATGGGGTGTGTGGGGGCTGGGGATGTGTGGGGGTGCAGGAGTCAGGGCAGGGGGCTGGAGGTGTGTGAGGAGGGTGCAAGAGTCATGGCAGAGGGCATGTGAGGGGGATGCAGGAGTCAGGGCATGGGGTGTGGGGGGGGCTGGGTATGTTTGTTGTGCTGGAGTCAGGGATGGGGTCTTGGGGGCGTGCAGGGGTCAGGGCAGGGGGCTGGCGGTGTGTGAGGGGGTGCAGGGGTCAGGGCAGAGGGCTGGGTGTGTGTGAATGGGGTGCAGGGATCAGGGCTGGGTGTGTGTGAGTGGGGTGCAGGGATCAGGGCAGGGGCTTGGGGTGTGTTTGGGGGGGTGGAGCGGGGTGGGAGGAGTGCTGGGAGCGAGCACTCTGGATTCCTAGGTTTCCAGCTGGGCTCTAGTTGTTCGAGGGGTTGGGGGGGCAGAACGGAGACTAGGGCTCTGGACTCCTGGGTTCTGCCCTCAATGCCGGAGGAGAGCGGGGTCCAATGACCTGGGGTGGGGAAAGAGGCGCGACCCAGCTGTTCCCAGGGTCCAGGATCTGGCACAGGAGTCAGCAACCTATGGCACGCGTGCCAAAGACGGCACGCGAGCCGATTTTTAATGGCACGCTGCTGCCTGCTGGGGTCCCGGCCGCCGGCCCCGCTCAGCCCCCGGGCTTGGGTTCGGGCCGTGGGATGCGGCCTGCCCCAGTACAGAGCCGAGCTCATCCCGGCACCGGGGCTCCAACCCCGGGGCAGCCTGCCTGAGTCCAGGGAGCGGGGCCGGCCGTGCTCGGGGCGGGCGGGCGGGCACACGACGCAGCTGGGACCCAGGACCCTTCCCCACTTACAGGCCTCGCGGGCGCTGCAACTCCTGTGGGGCCGGGTCCCTCTTCCTGCCCCCGCCGGCGGGGCCACTTCTGGGGCCGCTCAGACTCCGCGGACAGCAGGTAGCGGTATGGACACGCTAACCCGGAAACACAACCTCCCACTGGACGTGACGGAGGTCAGGAAAGCATATGCAAATACCGGCGGGAGGGGCAGAGAAGAACGGGCCGGGCAGGATTTTTAATGGCACGCTGCTGCCTGCCGGGGTCCCGGCTGCCCCCCAGCAGGTAGCAGCGTGCCATTAAAAATCGTCTCGCGTGCCGTCTTTGGCACTCGTGCCATAGGTTGCTGACCCCTGTCCTAGATTGTGTTTGTTTTCTTCCAGGACACTGATAATCTCAAAGAGTGTAAGGGCCAAGAGCCAATCCTTGCAGGACCCCATCAGAACCACACTCAGTGATAATTCCCC